CCATAATAAAGTATCTATGTCACCTTTAGTTGTTATTAAAATGCTGTTTTTATGTTTAAATTGGAAATAAACTTATCTTCTCACCACTTCCTCTTCTAAATGCCTTGAAATTGGCCTCTGTCTCTTTAAGAACCTCCTTCTGCTTCTGTTCTGTTCCGTTCGGTGTTTTCAATCTGAAAAGAGCTTCACTGAGTGAGAACTAATATTGAGAGCAGCAGACAGTAAGTTTCACTTTCAATTTCACCCGAGAGCCTGCAGGAGTCATGGGCAGGTTGTGGGGGGAGTTGGGGAGAGGGTGCGCTCTGCCATGAGGAAGTTCGGCTTAAAGACACGTCCCAGGGGTGTTTCTGGTACCAAAAGGCATTTCTAGTCCCCACCTGTCGTTTTGCTCCTCAGCATGGCTGCCTAAAAACGCTGCAGGATTTCTCAAACATGCATGAATGAGTCAGAGCAAGGCTTTGGGCGTGTTTTTTGTGAGAGTATAACATTATAACGTGATAAAAAAACTCAAAAAAGTTGATTTTACATGATATTGCCCCTTTAAGTTGCTTTAAAACAACAAATATCAACTTGAGTCTGGGCTCTACTTAGGTTAGCTGTTGTTTTCCATTCACTGACTTAGTTTTGAGTTTTTTTTAAAGAGCTATCTACAGCAGGTAAGATATTGTTTGTRGCCTTTCCACAGAAATCCCCTTCAAAAGATCCAGAGTAACATAGCTCATGAGCAAATGCCCACATTTAATGAACTTAAATACCATTACGAAGAAGAGTTGCCCTAAGTTCCTCCAAAGTGATTAAAGAGACTGATAGTATCATACAGAAGAGGATTATTTCAAGTTACTGCTGATGATGTGGACCTACAAGCTATTACATCTTATGCAGAACATATCATTCAACTGGGACATTCCCGGAAAATGTGTAGATAAATGTATCCTAATGCAGGGCCATAAGTGAGAAAATTAATAACTCCCAAAGTTTTAGATAGAGAAACATGCTGCCGCTTAATCATAATCTTGTGAGCAAGTAACCCAATAAAGCATGCAAATCATTGATTAGCACTAATCCTCTTGTTCTCCTCTGTCATGTGCACCAGGGAACAATCAGCATTAAGTTCTGTAGATAGTGCACCTGTGGAAAGATGAATGTGTCRTGTTCTTTGGATTAATAGCACTGGTGAGGGGGAAGAGGCAGGGCGGGAAGTGAAGATGAGCGTGGAATCCCTAATCGTCTCTATAAGCTCCCAAAGTGACCAGATGTCAGAAACACAACCATTCTGAACCAATTAAGACAAATGGGTCGATGGCGGCCGCTGCTGCTGTTGTTTACTCGCGCCTCGAGAAGAAAAGGCAAGTTTGTGGGAAATCAGTCTGGAAAAAAAGCACACCAGGTGTCTGCTATAAAGTTTGAAGTTGCAAAACTGATGAATGTTATTGGCACAACAGCCAGGTGAAGTAACAATTAAAAAAAAACAGCTACCCATTTGTAGAACTCGACAAAAGTGCTGAGTGCGGCAGTGTTTACAGACTTCCCTCAGAGCTAAATCGTACGAAGAAACGTGGCTTTTTGATCCGTTATGTCTTCTAGGTGGATGAGAGGAAGCTGACAGTAACATGAAAATCAAATTGAAATGGTAACTAGACATGGGTTTTTACGATGTAAAAACAAGTGTGCATTGCCATGCAGCATGGCTTTGCCTGCAGCATTGGACTTGCAGAATGAAATGGGACCAAGTTCAAATGTGTTTTCTATACCATCTTGTGGCTGTCACGTGAGCAGGTGTTTGTAATTAAGGTAACTGTGTGACAATATGAAGTTTGAAGAGAYTTTTTGTTGAAGTTGCTTTAGTTGGGTTTTGAACCCTGATGTCCCACATGAAAGTCCATGGCCTTGACCAGTGGATCATTGGAGCTGTGGCAGAAGGTGGGGCTAGGGGTTGGTTTGTATGTGTGCAGAAAGAGGCCACATTGCCAATACAATTATTGACACTAAACTGCATAATATTACAACAATAAAGAAATATTAAGATAAGGACACAGTAAAACATCAAAATACAATCATATTAGTATTGTAAACACTGAACATATAAGATTAACTATTAATAAAGTATGGAGCAGTACCAAGTTGAGTACAGCATGGGGCAGTATTGGACCATTACAAGGCCCCATTGACTCCCATTATATGAATTTTGGAATAAAGTTTAAACATTAATATTTCAAAATCTACAAGTTGTACAGGCACCAGAAGGCATAGCAATCATTTGGCACAGGACCATTACAGATAGAAATTACAATGGCAGCTGTATGTAGGAGGAGTAACGTGATGATGTGGAAGAAGACGGAATAATAAGATGATGAATAATAATAATATTAAAGAGAAACAGGAAAACAATAGTAATGCACACTGATAACAAACAGTCAGACATTTGGCTTTTACAGTCTTTTAGAATTTTGCTAAATAGTCGCGCTAAAAGACAGTAACAGAAGGGCGCTCTCACAGTAAAAGTTTCAGGCCTTGTCCCGACCTGCATAACTAACTTTGTTCCAGTCATCCAGTGTTTGGTATTAGCAAAATAAATAAATAAAAGTAAAAAACTTTGATTTCTAGCAAAGTATTGCTTTGTGCACAAGAAACAAGTCAAATTGATTTTACAGTTTTTTTCTACGGTACATCAACTGGTTTTATCCTGATTCTGTCGAGGGCTTCTGTTTATTTGTGACTATGAAATTATTTTTTAGTTTTGTGAAAAGAGAGTTTAGGTAAAAACAACAAAAACAAACAAACAAAAAAAAACAAAACAAAACAAAAGGCTAATAAGCTATTTTCTGAAAAGAAAAATAGCTTCATATCTCAAGATTAAAAAAAGCATTTCATTATTTAAACATGAGGTCATCTGTAATAAAAAATGATTCTCTAAGCATGAAATGAACAAAAAGAACTTCAGTTGTTTTCTGAGAATTACTCCTCATGCCAAGCATCTTTCTTATTTATGTATTTGAATGTGCAGGTAGTATAAATTTTATTGACATTTACTGGGGTGGTGTGACATTGCGGTGTTGCTTTTTCTTTTTACAGGATTTTTGCTTCTAGTATAACCAAAATACTATTTTTAATACATAGTTTGCTAGTGGCTCTCCCTTATGTTTGTTTCTATTTGAGTGGGTGGTGATGAGGGGTAGTATCCCATAATGTTCCAGTTTGTGGAGTGTATGACTCAGTGGTTCCAGCTGTAGCACTCCTGCTACACAGTTTTCATTATATTCCTTTTTCCCAATTTRTCTATGTTTGCTATTAAATGCTCAAGTGGATGTTGGGTTCTATGTAGAATACACACTATTGATATTTAGTGGAAATTCAAGTTTGCATACATTTATACACCACCTCTCTTTGAACCTTGGATCTGCTTGGAGATCTTGTTTAACATGAAATTCTGTCATTAGGCCATCAGAGGCAGGTTAGCTCGGTGTCAATTCCCTTTGGCTCAAATCACAAATGAGCTTAAGTCCAACCCTAAAAGAGCACCAGTGCAGACCCTCATTTTTCCAGTTTGTCTTTCTGTTTCTCTCCTTTGGCTTCTATCATGCAATTTTTAATAATTAGTACAATTACTTTTCTGGGTTTTGGCTCCTTTTTACATTATCGTCAGGCATGTGCGCCTGACCGTGCTTCTTTCTGAGGAGCTCTCCCTCACTTACCAAGTGTTTAGATGCTTCATGATGCAACTAGTTTACCTTTAAAAAAACAAACAAAAAAAGCACCTTATTTGCAGCATCGGTTATTAAACTTGATAGTCATGCCAGGAGCCACACTGTCTGATTTGCATGAAATGAAAACACTCAACAGAACCAGACAGCAGAAAATCTAATACCTAAAACCATTTCAGAGTCATTAAGACTTGAGTTTTCAGCAACCTAAATTTAAAAATCARAAATAGACATAGACAGCTACTCTGGCTGATTACAGCATTTTATTGAAGGCTATGGAAAGAAAGTGAGAGAGGGCGAAAAGAAAACAAGGGTTTTTTTTTTTCATCAAATGTACAGTATAAGCCAAAAACATCCCTCTAGTGGTTTGCTGTGTTCAATTGTTAGAACTGCTGCAATTAGAAGGAAACAAAAAATCATTTACTGCAAAACCAGTTAAGAACTAAATGCATTAGTAAAAAAATAATAAGAATGATAAGTAAGGCTGAAAGCACAAGGCTGTAATTAGAACTGCTACTCAACTCTTATCACAGTGTCAAGAGTGAGAATCGTCTATCAGAAGGGATGCCGACTAAACTAYAGAAATAAGAAAATGAGAACTTTATTATCCAATTAATCCCAAAAGAAGGGTCTGTTTCAACCCATTTTTTAAAGTTTTATAATCTATAATTTACATATTTTAGTCAATATTTCAAACGTGGACCCAAACTGTCTCACAAGTCACTTGAATAAATGTTCTTATTGAATGATGAATTGTGCCAATATTAAAGAAAAGAAAATTTCCTCTAAAATCTAATTCATCAAAGTTTGATTTCCACASAAAAAAACAGGTTTGGGAGACAAAGAAAGAAAAGGCAGTGATGCACAGCTTTTCCTTCTAAGACACTCTGACTGTGTGACTGCAGATTTATCACTTCAGAATTCATCACATCAGATGAGTCCATCTAACTGATATGAACATGACCTTTGAAGATTTTAAGATGAAAGAAATGACAACATATAAAAAAATGTAACTTCTGTACTACTGTATTTCTACCATTATTACCWTGAGACATACTGAGGTGAGAAAATGAAAACGTAAAAGAGTTTTTGGTTATTAAAGTGCTCTGACACACCATCTATTAGCAGCAGTATGTATATACATATAAATGTGGTTCAGCACTTTTACAAGTCAATCATTTTAAAAATCCTGCAATAATTCACTCCAACTCAATTTAAAAAGAAAAAAAAATACACTCAGTAGTCACTTTCCTCTTGTTTGAACAAAACTAAAATAAAAAAAATATCATCGTGCAGATTTTCATCCGTACTTTACATACATAAAAAAATTACACAACTCTATTTGCTCTTTTACGAATAAATTCTGTAAACACTGCTTTAGGTCCTTCAGTTTTGTTTTTTCCTTTCTTCTTCTCACGTTTCTGCTACAATCTGCACGTTTGGTTCATTCAAAAAAGAAAATCGTCCGAGGCTCCTGTTCTGGCACCTGCAGAATATTTTTCGTAATATATTCATTCCCCAATGTTTCCAATGTTAATAACAATACTCTAACCTTCTACCCAAACTTTTGAAAAGTTAAGAAACTGGAAGAATTAAGTGGAAGCGCTAGTGTTTTTTGTGTGAGTTGATATTTTAAACACCCACAGAAATCCCACCTTTACAAAAAGAAGTAAAGAATATTAGACAACATCAACGTGGATAAAAGTGTTAGCTGAGGACAGTGGACAAGGCTAGGTGTGGATACAGGTAAGGCATAGCATGGGTAGATGTTGGGTACGTTTGAGTTGGGAGTCCACGCATCGAGCAGATCGTTAGCGTTTTCAGTTTATTTAAACAAAAAAAATGGCAGAAGAGCGCTGCGTTGGGCAAACATATTTGTGTGAAGTGGTGAAGGACTTCAGAAGCCTTGGAGGAACTCCTGGAGCTGTCTGACGAGCTCTGTGTCCACAGTCTCCATCAGGACCCCAAAGCCCTGGTCCCCCAGTAGGGCCTGCTGCGCCTTCAGTTTCTCATAGACGAACTTCTGGAGAGAAACGCTGTGCACCGGGTCTTCTAGGGCCAACTGCAGCCGGGCATAGAAAAGAGGAAAGAAATGGCAAAATTAGTCAGGAATATGAAGTTCAATGTTGATAGTTTAGCACGTGTCCCCTTTAAAAATGATTCCAGTTGTGATTTAAAAATCGTATTCACTTTATCAAGCACAACAATCTGTGGATACAATACTAGAACTGGATATACAACGCAACACGAGACCTGTTTCTGGTTGAAGTGCCGCCACATGGAACCTTTGTCGTCTATGCCTTAAAAATTTGCAAATAAAATGTGGATTTGTTTGTTTTATGAAACTTAGACTGGAGAAAAGTTATAATCTAACTTATCGTTATGCAGTTCTTGGTATWAAAAAGTATAAATAGATGGTAACAAACCCTGACACGATACGCAGCAGCAACAAACAAATCTGCATCCATGCAGAGGTCAACAGCATGGAAATAGCAACAAGAGACACAAACAGAAACATCATCATTTAAATAACTACATTCACTTAAATTTACACATCAAAGATTTATACATTTATGTTAAAGCTGACAAACTAACTTACCAGGGCTTACAGAACTTTGATCAGCAATGATTCAACAATTTTCTGTGCCTCTTTTGACAAAAAAAAAGATGAGGGGAAAAGTAACTCAGACAATTTGCTATTTCCAACACTGACATGTACATCCAACAAAAAACTCAGAAGAAAATGATTCAGTATACGCTGTCACAGCCATTCATCTTGTGCCAAGGAATGTGCTGGAAAAACAATCCTTGACAATAGAGTAAAAGAGCGAGAAAAGTTGGACGGCTGACGAGAGCCGATACATTTTTGAGGGTACGAACACAGTCATTTATTTTCTGTGAAGTGAAACAAGGGCAGAAACAAACAGCGGCGCAGTRAAAGGTTGAGAGCCTCCATTCTGCAAAATAAACCCGGGGAGAATGCAAACAGAGTGAACATCATTAAGTAAAACAAAAAAGTTTGCAACAWTAACTTTTGTTTTATTAGCAAAACGAGAAAAAAAATCTGAACAGAATAAGACATTTGTATTTACCTTGAATAAATTAAGCAGATAATTCTTTCATTTAACCCTAACCTTTAATATCTTCTGACTGAATCTGATTTCACCAGATTAATGTTTCCTATACTTCTAGACCTTCCTCCTAAAACCTTAAAAACCTCCTCAGTGACCAGATGTCTTTTATTGTCTCATAATGTGACAACTTGGCACTCGTTTAGGTACAAAAGACTTTCATAACAGGATAAATACGTAAGTAAGCAAACAGGGAGAAGCAGAATGTTATAATAAAATGTTTTAGTCACTAATGGATCACAGCAAACAACTCTTGTCATGCAAATGTCTTCATTGCCATCCCTGTGCAAACAAACAAGTGAAGAATAGCTTGATGGAAAAACTGTCATCTAACCTGCATAATCACCTTCAGCACAAATGGAACAAGTGTGTGTGTGTGTGTGTGTGTGTGTGTGTGTGTGTGTGTGTGTGTGTGTGTGTGTGTGTGTGTGTGTGTGTGT